GGCAAGTTGGCGCGATGTGAAAATTTGGCCCGCAAGCTATAATCGCACGAAGACGCCGACCAGACTGCTGGCCCGGCCAGGCCACGGGCCGCGGGGAGAGGGTGCAGCAGGGGGCCAGGCCAAGGCCGCGGACAGGCCAGAGGCGGCAGGTCGCGGGCGACGGGAGCAGCGTCGGGCGCCCGAGAACGAATGCAGGGGCCCCCGCAGACACTGACGAGAACCCCCGCTCGGGAATGCCAACCGCGCCTCGGGCGTCGGATCCAGGCGCGGATCCGCTACGGGTCCTATGTAGATCCGATGCGTGTTGAACGGGTCTCGCGCAAAGTCGCTGGGTTTTGAGGGCGGATCCAAACGGCGGGGGCGCGGCGCGTTTGGCGCGGATCCTGTCGCGCCATTTCATCCTTGTTTCAAATTGATTAAGGGCGGCAAAAGACTCCGAGGGCGACTTTCGCCGGGGCGCCTGGCAGGCGCGACGGGGGGGGGGGCGCCTGCTAGAATCTCACTCAGGCGCTCCTTCCAGAACTTTGATCAGGCCGCCTGAGCAAAGGCGGCTGAGGCAGCTCCTTCCAAAAACTTTGCCCAGGCGGCTCCTTCCATAACTTTGCAGAACTGCCCCCCTGGATTCCGACGCCTTTGCCGTCTGGCGCTCCGCTCGCTGGATCTCGCCAAAACCGGAATCGCCATCGTCACTGGCGCCTTCTCGAAGATCCGAGCCCAGTCGCGCGTTGGTTCAGTTGCGCTCCCATCCCAGGCGCACTCAGTCACGCTTCCAGCCCAGGCGAGTCGCATAAATCGGACCAGCCCTCTGGGCATAGGCGATATGACGCGCATTTTCTTCTCTCTTCCACTGGGGCCCCACCCACCACCCCCTCCCCTGGGCCAGGAATGGGGGGGGGGCACCGAGGCGTTGGAGCGCCCAAGATGGCCCGAGATTGCCCCAAGAGGGCTTCGAAGTCGCATGATGGCCTCCAAGATGGCCCATGCTACTTCACACTGGGTCAAGATAGCCTCCGACATACCCCCAAGAGGCCCCAAGACAGCCCCAAGCCGGATCCAAGTACCCTTCGAGGTGGGTTGGGGGTCGGGGCGACTCTGCGGATTCCGCCGCGGGGGGAGCCCATGCACCCCTTCCGCACCACCATCCTGTTGCCCATCCTGCCCTCTGGCCTCGCATGCGCTGTCTGCTGCGCTGACTGCTTCTCTCCTGCAGCTACACTTTGGCTCTAAGGAAACGGAAAAGGAGCGAACCTGCGGCGCGCGCGTGCGTCGGCCGGCGGGCCGGTCTCCTCCCTTCAGCGTTGCCCTAGTGCATGCTTGACGGCATTATCCCTTCGTCCCCATGTCATCGGCGAAGCCCACAGACCATGAGATATCAACGGAACATCTTGCAGGGATTACGAATATCCTGGTAAAAGACTCCATCACCTGCGACTTCCTCGCGATCACGCTCTCCAGCGTCGCGGAGGCCCACTTCGCCTCCAGGTCGACGAAGCGCAGCTCGCCCGCGCGCGTGGGCTCGCTGGCCCCGGGCGGCAAGAGACGCGCCTGCACTGCTTCGCGCTGCAGGCGCCGCCGGGGCTTCTCGAACTTACGCTCTGGCGGCATGTTCTCGCGGAGGTGCTCAGCGACCCTGATCTTCGGCAGGGCCGCGGATCTGAGCCGCCTGTTGGCGCTGTGGTTGGCGCGGGCCGTCTGCCGTGCAGCGCGCGCTGGTTGGGCTCCAACGAAGACAGCGCCAGCGACTTGCGCGCGCGCCGCCGAACGCCACCCTCGCGTCGCCCAGGAGGCCAAGGGCCCGGCCGACGAGGGCGCTGGCGGCGGAGCCGGCGTACGAGTCGTCGCCGAACATGATATGTGAAACGTTGCAATCTGGCATCTGTTCCCACGGCGCTTCTTGCCGGGTCGTGCCGAACCAGTGGCGCAGTGGAAATCCCTGGAGCTCTTGAGGGCCCCTTGTCGAGCTCGCACGCCCCACCCCCCGCTCGAGATCTCCTGTCGCGGCGCGCGTGGAAGCCAGAGTGCGGCACCGTGAGGGCGGCGCCGCAGTACTCGGCACTGCGCCTATGGAGCTTCGCCGCGAGGTGGAATGCCCGTTCCATCCATTGGACTGGGCCCGGGGCACCCTGCCGCTCGCGCCCGCGATGATCCCGCGGCCGAGCGACCTGCAAAATCGAGCCCGAGTTCCCTGGTCAGACGTCCAAGCGCGGAGAAAATCCGCAAGCGCCCTGCTGGCCCGTTGTTGTTCTGGCTTGAGTGCGTGACCCATCTGGACCGCCGCCTGCCCCAATAGCATATAGTCCGTCGGCGCTGCGACAACGTAGAATCCGCCATGGCTGGCGAGCTATTCCGCGAGCAGCACCGCGCGATACTTGAACCTGGCAAGGACCCTTTTGACGCCGAGGCGGCGACGTGCCTTCTGCAGGGTCACGTTGCTGAACCCAGTGATACGCAGCGCAGACCCGAGGCGGCAGCGCACCCCGATCACCTTTCTGTCTCCCATCATGGCCACTTGGCAGATGAGCGCGCGCACCAAGCAGATTACGCTGCGCAGCCGCTCCAGCCGCAGCGCGCTGGCCACCTGCGGGCACGACATCGATATAGCCAAGTCGGGCCAATCTTCCGCCACGAACCACCGTTTCTCGGCGCGGCGGTGGGGGAGAGGCCGGGGCGGGCCCTCGCTCACTAACTCCAGCGCCACTCGTGGGCCGAGGTGGTAGCGCTGCTCGCCGACCCAAGCCCCAGCAATGAACTCGCCGTGCATCTTGAAACGCATCGCGATGACCGCAGCAAACCGGCCAGGAACTTCCATCGCTTGCGTCGCGGCATTCCGCGCGTCCCATGGCGTGGGAATCGACGACGGGTTGAAATCTTTCCTTCGGAGGCCCTACCGACTTCAGTTTCACGGGCTCGAATTTCTGGGGCATGGCCAGCGCGTGCCCTGAATGCCCCGGTCCTGGATCGGGGCATTCACAAGGGGCCACAGCTAGGAGGCAGAAGGGGGCCAGAGGAGGGAAACCGGAAACGGGCGAGGCAAGGCAGGAGGAGGCTCGTCGCGCGAGGGGCCGCAGATGCGGCGGCCGGCGCCGAGGAGGACGACAAGGCTGAGGAGGAGGAGGAAGAGGAGGAGGAGGAGGAGGAGGAAGAATTGGCATGATGAAAAGGAGGAGGAAGAGGAGGAGGAGGAGGAGGAGGAAGAGGAGGAGGAGGAGGAGGAAGAGGAGGAGGAGGAAGAGGAGGAGGAGGAGGAGGACGACGACGACGACGACGACGAGGAGGAGGTGGACGGCGGGGGGGGGGGGGCGGCGATGAGGCGGCGGAGGAGGGAGAGGCGAGGAAGGCGACGGCGAGAGGTGGGCCAGTTCGCCGCGCGGGCGAGGGACGTGGGCGCGACCGGCCAAGCGGAAGGGCCGAAGCCTCGAGGCTGGGAACGAGGCAGCGAGGCGGGGCGGCGGGGTTCCCCGAGGCGGCCCACGAGGGGGCGGCCAGAGGAGGACGACGAGACAGGAGGAGGCGGCGAGCAGGAGGAGCAGGAGGAAGCAAGACAAGGAGAACATGAAAGAGAGGCGGCGGCAACAGAAAGGCAGGAGGGGGCGGAAGAGGAAACTCGCTATCCTGGGTGCGCTAACGATGTCCAAGAGCCTTTTACGTTTCATCAGTTTTCGCCTCCCTCGTATCCATTCCACAGAAAAATGGAAACTTAATTCGAATATCGATGCCATCGGCAAAAGGTCGTTCATTAACAGCGGCGGACGCGGCGTCCTGTCATACTGAGGAAAATGAAACAACACCTTCGCATTGATCCTCGGCACTGTTTACGAACAGCCTTAAGCCACGTTTTCTACAGAAACGCGATGCTAATGACATCGAAAGCATTCACATTCGCGACGTAACCTGGTTGCGACGCGTGTCACCTGCGACTCAGTCGCAGGGAATTCTTTATACGAGGTCGCTGCCTTCGCCTTCCAAGATAATGATACTGTTGGACAACAACTCTTCAGTCCGGGATCGATGATGTGTGCTCAACATTGTGTGATACTGTTGGTGTTGCACGCACGCCCGAACGATTGCCACATCCAGCTCCATGTTTGCTCCCTCCGTGCCCCATCATTGCTCCATCGTTGCTCCATTCTTGCTCCGCTATCGATGAATTATCGTTCCACGCTCCAATGTCACTCCATTATCTTTCCATTGTCACCTCGCTGTTGCTCCATTCGTGCTCCATGGTTGCTCCATGTGTTGCTCCATTTTGCCCCATGATTGCCAGCCTTGCTTCATTATTGTTCTATTCCTGCGCCATCCTTACCTCCTCACCTTTGTCTGAAGTCATTCTGCATGTGTGGGAAACCTACAAGGACCTCACTGCCGCTGAGCATTATCACATGTTTTTCGATCCAACATCGTTTCACTCCAGCTCCTCCCAAAATCCCCAGGCCACGGCTCTAGAACCGACGCACTAGTGAATGATCTAGATGATACGGTTGTGAAAGATGTACTGCGCAAAACGGATCGGCCCCAATTGTGACATTTCCAATGCCATACCGACTATAAATATGGACGTGTTTTGTTCCAACAGAGCATAGCGCGTTCAACAAACATTTCAGAACGCAGACAACACCACTATCACCAAAATGTGTCAAATTTGCTTGTCTTACAGGGGTGGCCGCACCTCGATAATAGCTGTTCTTTCATGCATGTATTGCAACATTCGTGCCTTAGCCTGGCTTGATTATTGCTCCCAGTGTCATTCAGTTCTTGCTCCACAATCACCCCATCATTGTCCCAACATTGCTCCATGATTGATCAGTTCGTGCTCCATGTCCGAAATTCAACACCGAATACATGGATACGTGTTGCTCTCTGTGAACACTGTTTTCCAACCCCTCGCGGAACACACCATTACGTAACGCTTGACTTCTATACCCTGAATCCCGACGCTTACCAAAACCATTTCGAACCAACTCCTGGATCCTCGAGCCTGGAGGAGGAAGGAGAGAAGAGTCCTGCCGTGATGGAGCCTCCGTTCTGCGAGCGCGGATCCGTGCTGTTCGGGCAACCAGCCGGTCTTGTCCTCCATGGCGCGCAGCGTCTCGAGCTCCTCCGGAAGACCCATGCCACGACAGCCAAGGCAACCCCCGGCTCTCCTCCCCAGACCACCGACGTCATGATTTGTTCATGGCGTGGACCTCCAGAGGTCCTCGCCGTCGCTCGGACGTCCATTTCCCGTGCATTTTTCGGTTTCGTGCGTGATTTGTTTGCTCGATGGTCCAGGATGGTCCTCGATGGTTCTCGCCGAGAAAGAGCACACGTCCGAACGATGCCAAGGGTCTGGAACACTTCCCCGAGGCTGGCGTTTCGCCCCGAGTCTTATTCGAAGGTCTTAGGGCCCCCGGGCGCCGAGAGCTGCGCAACACCTTCGCCGTGAATTTCTCGCGACCCGAGGCCGTCGGGGTCTCCCTCGCCCCATGGCCACTCTCGCCCTATCCTCCCTCCCTCGCCCACCCAGAACGGGGGGCGGGAGAGGGAACGAGCAATGCAGAATGACTCGCAAAGCCTCCCAAAGAACGAACCAGCGGAAGCTAAGAAGAATACGGAATCACTGGCGGGCTAGTTGGGCCTGAAAATCTCGACGGACAAAAATTTGGAATTCCCCCTGTTGCCAAATATGCTGGAAAATGTTCAACCACTCCTCTGGCCCCTCATGAATTCCCAGGCAACTTCGATCGAATGCCTACTCGCCGTCTTGCTCTCAGCTCGATCGGAGCATTTTGAAGGGCTCCTCCCCCCCCCGTACCATGCCCTGATCACCCTCCCCACCTCCGCTCTCCGACAGTCCGCATCCACCCCCTGTCCCTGTCGGACTGCGAGCTTGAACCGCGAGAGCACAACGAGGGCTTCGATTGCTCCGTCCCCTCCTCCTCCTCCATCTTCTCCTCCTCTTCCTCCCCACTCGCGACATGATCACATTACCATCGTGAGCATCACCATCAGTAGTGGTATCATCATCATCATCATCATCATCATCATCATCATCATCATCATCATCATCATCATCATCATCATCATCATCAGCATCAGCATCAGCATCATCATCATCATCATCATCATCATCATCATCATCATCATCAGCATCAGCATCAGCATCATCATGATCATCATCAGCAGCATCATCATCATCATCATCGTTATGGCCACCACAATCACCATCACCCACACCATCACCATCACCATCACCATCACCATTACCACCACCATCATCACCATCATTATCATCATCAACATCATCATCATCGTCATTATCACCATCGTCATCAACATCATCATCAGAATCATCAGCATCAGCATCAGCATCATGATCCGACATCATCATCAAAATCATCAGCAGCAGCATGATCATCATCAGAATCATCGTCGCCCCCTCCTCCCAGCCTTTCCTTCCCCCGCATCGCATCCGTCCCTGCTACTCCTCCTACTCCTCCTCCTCCTGTTCCTCCTCCTCCTCCTGCTCATCCGCATCATCCCCTCCTGTTCTTTCCCCTCATCATCATCATCATCATCATCATCATCATCATCATCATCATCATTATCATCATCATCATCACTATCATCACCATCATGATGACGCTGATCATCATCATCATCATCATCATCATCATCATCATGATCATCATCATCATCGGCATGATCGATATCATCGTCATGACCATACTATCATCATCATCCTCATCCTCATCCTCATCCCCATCATCATCATCATCATCAGCATCATCATCATCATCATCATCATCATCATCATCATCATCATCATCATCATCATCATCGTGATGATCAGTTTCACTAGCACTGGCTTCATCATCATCGCCATCATCATCATCGTCCCCTCCCCCTAGTCCAACCTCCCCCTATCCCATCCTCCCCTCCTCTTCCTCATCATCCTGATCTTCATCATCATCACCACCAGCATCGTCACCAGCATCGTCATCATCATCATCATCATCCTCATCATCATCATCGTCATCAGCATCGTCATCAGCATCGTCACCAACCTTATCAGCATCACCACCCTCATCATCACCATCATCATCAGCATCTCGTTGTCCTCGGCACCATCGTCAACATCAGCATCACCGCCATCATCAACACACCACCAAAATCATCAGCCGCAACCTGATAATCCCCCTCATCATCATCATCATCATAGCCATCATCAACATCATCATCAGCAGCAACATCATTATCACCATCCGAAGCATCATCATCATCAGCAGCGACAGACGCATTATCATCACCACCGTCATCGTCATCATCAGCAGCATCACAAGATGCATCATTATCATCAGCATCATCACCATCAGCATCAACACCATCATCAGCATCAGTATCATCAGCAGCAGCATCACCAACATCATCATCAGAACCAACGTCATCATCAGCATCATCAGCATCCCCCTCCTCCTCACTCAACTCCTTCTCCCCCTCCTTCTCAGTCTTCTCCTCCTCCTTCTCCTCCCGCCCCCCCCCACGCCCCCGCTCATCATCATCATCATCATCATCATCAGTATCATCATCATCATCATCATCATCATCATCATCATCATCATCATCATCATCATCATCATCATCAGCATCATAATCATCAGCATCATCAGCATCACCAGCAGCATCATCACCATCCTCGCCATCTTTTCCTTCCAGCAGCCCCCCCCCCGCCCGCATACCATCCTCCCCTCCTACCCCTCCTCGTGCTACTACTACTCCTCCTCCGCAGCATCACCACCGCAATCATCATAATCATCGTCATCATCATCAACAACAGCAGCATCGGCATCAACCTCATCAGCATCACTATCAACACCATCATCAGCATCATCATCACCCTCATCATCTGCATCGTCGTCATCATCAATAACACCATCATCAATCTCATCAGTATCATCACCATCACCATCCCCTCGTCCAAGTCCTCCCCCCCCCCGTCATCCCATCCTCCACCCCATATTCCTCCTCAAGCTCCTCGTCATCGTCGTCAGTCTCACCACCACCACCGCCGTCAAGATCATCATCAGCAGCATCAGCAACGTCATCATCAGCATCATCAGCAGCATCATCATCATCATCATCATCATCATCATCATCATCAGCATCAGCATCATCGTCATCAGCATCATCGTCAGCAGCATAATCAACAACATCATCACCATCATAATCAGCATCAGCATCAGCAGCATCATCATCGTTATCATCAGTATCATCAACATGAGCAGCAGCACCACCACCATCATCCTCATCATCATCCCCTCCTTCCAGCCATGCCTCCCCTCTCACCCTGTCCTGCCCTCCTCCGCCTCCTCATCCCCCGCATCATCGTCCTCAGCATCAACAGCGACAACATCATCATCAACGTCATCCTCAGCACCAGCATCATCACCGTCATCAGCATCATCATCATCATCATCATCATCATCATCATCAGCATCACCAGTATCATCATCAGCATCAGCATCAGCATTATCATCAGCAACACCATCATCGTCAACAACATCGGCGTCATCAGTATCATCATCGCCAGCAGCGTCAGCGCCATCCTCATTATTAGCGTCAGCATTGCCTCGTCACAGCCATTTGTCCACCCTCATCCCATCCTTCATTCAGCCTCTCTCCGATCATCAGCATCATCGCCATTATCAGCATCGTCATCACCATCATCATTAACCCCATCATCATGCTCATCCGTATCACCATTATTCCTCGTACTTATCCTCAGAGTCATCATCATCACCACCAGCATCATCATCATCAACATCATCATCGCATACAGAATCCTCATCATCATCATCAGCTTCATCATCACTGTCATCATCATCATCACATTGACCATCGTCATCATCACCATCGACATCATTATCATCATCATCGTCGTCATCGTCAGCAGCATCATCATCGCCCTCATCCTCACACTCATCCTCATCCCAGTCCTCATCCCAGTCCTCATCACCATCATCATCGTTATCTTCAAATCATAATCATCATCATCATCATCATCATCAGCAGCAGCAGCAGCATCATCATCAGCATCATCATCATCCTGACCATCATCATCATCATCATCATCATCATCGTCTTCGTCGTCGTCGCAATCGTCATCATCATCGTCGTAACCAACAGCATCAACACCACAACCACCATCATCAGCAGCATCATCATCAGCAGCACCAGCAGCACTCCCTCCTCCCAGCCCTTCCTCCCACTCTTCCCATCCAGCCCTCCTGCTCCTTCTCCTCCTCCTTCTCCCCCTCCTTCTCATCATCACCACCACCACCATCACCATCATCATCATCATCATCACTTCCACCACCACCGCCACCATCACTATCATCATCATCATCATCAGCAGCAGCAGCAGCATCAGCATCAAGATCGTCAACCCCATCATCATGATGATGATCATCATGATCGTAGTTCCTAATGTTTATCGTCATCGTCGTCATCATCACCACCGACATCATCATCATCATCATCATCATCATCATCATCATCATCATCAGCATCATCTTCATCACTGTCACCATCATAACCTGCACAATCGTCATCACCAGCTATCATCAGTGTCATCATCATCCTCACCATCAGCAGCAGCCTCATCGTAATCATCATCATCCTCACCCCAGTCCTCCTCATCATCATTGTCATCAAATTATCATCATCATCATCCTCACATCATCGTCATCGTCTTCGTCGTCATCGTCATCGTCGTCGTCACCAAGACCACCACAACAACCACCATCACCATCACCATCATCATCATCACTATCATCATCATCATCATCATCATCATCAGCATCATCATCATCATCAGCATCATCATTATCAGCAGCAGCAGCACTCCATCCTCCCAGCCCTTCTTCCCCACTCATCCCATTTTGCCCTCCTGCTCATTCTATTCCTCCTCCTGCTCCTCCTTCTCATCATCATCATCATGATGATGATGATCATCATCATCATCATCATCATCATCATCATCATCATCATCATCATCATCGTCATTATCATTATCACTTCCACCTCCACCACCACCACCACCATTATCATCATCATCATCATCATCATCATCATCATCAGCAGCAGCATCAGCATCAGCATCAGCATCAGCATCAGCATCAGCATCAGCATCAGCATCAGCATCATCATCATCATCATCATCATCATCATCATCAGCATCATCATCATCATCATCATCATCATCATCATCATCATCATCATCATCATCATCATCATCATCATCATCATCATCATCATCATCATCATCATCATCATCATCATCATCATCATCATCATCATCATCATCATCATCATCATCATCATCATCGCCATCATCATCATCATCAGCATCGCCATCATCACAATAATCATCCCCCGCCTCCTCCTCCTCCTCCTCGTCCTCCACAGGGGGGGGGGGGGGCGTGGCAAAGGGCCCGGTCCTGCGGCGCGTCCCCGCCGAGGCCGCGGTAGGCCAGCATCGCGCGCGCGAAACTGGGCTCGGCCTCCTGCCGCTCGGGCTCCTCTGGGGGGCCCGCCGTGGTCGTCATCATCGCCGTCGCCGCCGCCGCCGTCGCCGTCGTCGTCGTCGCCGCCGCCGCCGCCGCCGCCGTCCTCGCCGCCGCCGCCGCCGCCGCCGCCGCCGCCGTCGTCGTCGTCGTCGTCGTCGTCGTCGTCGTCGTCGCGGTGGAGCGAATCAGCGTCGTCGTCGTCGCCGACGACGTCGACGTCCCCCCAGGAGAAGGAGGACGAGGAGTAGGAGGAGGAGGAGGAGGAGGAGGAGGAGAAGGAGGCGGAGGAGGAGGAGGGGGAGGAGGAGGAGCGAGGAGGAGAAGGAAGAGGAGGAGGAGGAGAAGCGAGGAGGAGGAGCGAGAGCGAGGATGACAAGGAGGAGCGAAGAAAAGGAGGAGGAGGAGGAGGAGGACCAGGAGAAGGACGACACATAGGGCGTCTTGGAACACTCTGCGGGCGTCTTGGATGTGCCTTGGGTGGTGTCTGGACGGCTTCAGGGCCCCTCTTGGCACGCTCCCTTCCACGCTGTCTGGGGAGGCCGTTTGGGGTCGTCTTGGGGGTTCTGTGGACCGTGGTGGGGATACCTGGAGCGCCTCGTGCGCATTCGTAGACGCACCGGAGAGCCCCAGCGCGCGATTGCTGAAAGTGTAGGTTTCCCGTAGGGACTTGCCTAATTTCGGTCTCCCGACTTCTTCTCTGGGCGCGCCAAAGGAGGCTCTGGATGCATCTTGAACGGAACGGAACGGAACGGAAGCCGGCTAGGCTCCGCGAGGGAGCTGCCAGGGGGGCCTAAGCCCACTCACTTGTTGATGTACCCCTTGATGATGTACTCCTCTTTGAAGGTATCCCACACCGGTGACTCTGCCAGCTGCACCCGACTTCCATATGGCCAGTTGTCTGCACATGTTGTTTGATGTCGTCTGCCCAACGAGTCTTTGGACGTCCCGGACGCCGCCGGCGAGGCTTGGAAGCCTCCAAGCCCTACTTGAGTCGGGAGCGGCCAAGAGGGGGGTGTCCAAGAGGGGGGGGTGCAAATCATGACCGGCGGCATGTGCGCGGCCCAGCGGGGGGGCCAGGGACGTAATGAAATAAGAAGAGGCTCTATAAAATCTGGGAAATATCATGGCCCCCGCCATGATATCCACCCCCTCCTAGTCATTACCCCCCTCTTTTCCGCCCCCGATTGAGGTCCACGTGTCTTGGAGCGCTCCGTGCGGGTGTGGAGCGGCCCCTGGGCGCCCTGGACGGCCTCGGGAGCTCCCCGAGGCACGCTCCGGGCCTCCTCCGCGGCGGGCCACCCAGGCCGTCTGGGGAGCCCCCTTGGGGGCCGTCTTGGGCGGTCGGATAGGGGGTTCGTGGGCCGCCTTTGGCCTCCCTGGAGCGCCTCGAGCGCCTTTCGCAGACGCGTTGAGCAGACCTCGAGCGCGCAGTTGCTGAACATGCGTGTTTTCCTCCAGGACTTGCCCAAATTTGTCCTCCCGGCGTCTTCTCGGGGAGCGCCCGGGGAAAGTCCTGGAGGCACCGGGGGGAGCCTCGAGGCCCTTCTTGAGGTCCACCTGGGGCCACTGGGAGCGCTCCGTGGGCGTCTCCCAGATCTGCGACGTCCTGGTATTTTTTCAGGACGGCGTCCCCGGAAGTCCCGACCCTTTCCCCTGGGCCGGTTTTGCATCCCGAGTCGTTTTTGACGCTCCCGGGGCCCAGCGAGGGCCCCACGAGGCCGAACAGAACGAAAAACCTCCCGTCGTGATTTTCTTACGGCGCGAACATGTCTGGGGAGCGCTCCGTGGGTGTCTTGGACCTCCCCTGGAGCTGCCTGGGCAGCCTCGAGAGGCCCCTCTTATCGCACGAGCCAGGCCGCCCCTGGTCCTCCTATGCGCTCAGTCGAGAGCTGGGCCACGGGCCCCCACGCCTCGTAGACGGGAATATACATATATATATATATATATATATATATACATATATATATAAACATACGTATATATGTATACACAAATATACATAAACATATACAGTTACATCTACAAATACATGTGCATATACATATACATATACATTTGCACCTATATATATATATATATATATATATGTATATATATACATATATAATATATATATATATATATATATATATATATATATGACTGTACCTGCACATCTGCATGTACACATTCATTTACATATGCACATGCGTATCCATATAATACACATATACAAAATCGAATACATATACATGTACTCATTTATGTTCAAACACAAAAACGCATCCATGCACATACACATAGACACACCAATCATATACATTTACGCATCCATTTACATATACATTTACATATACGTATACATATACATACACGCATGCAAACATACATGCATGTACACATATATTTACACACAGTCATGCACACATACATGCACACACATGCATACATGCATGCATGTATGCATACATTATGCACACATACAAACATGCATACATAGGGCATACAAGCACACATGCATACATACATACATACATACATACGTACGTACGTAGCACATACATGCATACACGAATAAAAACATGCATACACACATCCATATATGCACACATGCATGTCTAATACATGCATGCATGCGTGCGTGTACACATACGTAGTCATATATACATGTACATAAACATGTTGAGAGGAGGAAAATGAAGAGAATGATGATGAGGGACAGAGGAGATAGAGAGAGAAATTGCTATATATATGTACATATATATGCATAACTAGATTGAGAGAGAGGGGAACCAAACAACAGAGAACGAGCTAGAGAGAGAGAGGGGGACAAGACACAAGAGAGATGGATGTGACATTCCCGTCGCAAGCCAAGGCTCAGCGTCCTTCGGCAATGCCCGCGCGCACGAGACCTAGGGTCAGCGGGACGCCGCGCGGACGTTAGAATTGGAGGATCAGACAAGGTAAGACAAACTTAAGATCCTTGTATGACTACCTGCAGACCTGTCTGCCTGTGCCAAAACAGGCGCGGCCCGAGGAAGTGGAGAGGAGGAATGGAAGAGCAAAAATCTTCAAACACGTAAGCTGTCGGTGCGCCGCGCGAATGTTCTGGATCTGCCCTGGGCCCCCTCCCTGGGGCGCGGAGCGCGTCAGGGGCGGCGCTGGAGGCGCCGCCGGGAGGGGCCCAGCGCCGATCCAAGAAATCCGCGCGGACCTCCGAAGGTGCATGTTGATGCCGCCTCACGGGGGAGGGGGGGGGGGGCGCCGACGCACGAAGAGGACAGAGAGGGGGAAGGAGGAGGAGGAGGAACATAGGAAGTGGAGGAGGAGGAGGAGGAGGAGGAGGAGGAGAAGGGGGAGGAGAAGGAGGCAGAGGAGGATGAGGAGGATGAGGAGGATGAGGAGGGGGGAAGAGGAGGAGAAAGGAGGAGATTTCTGAGATTTCCCCCCAGGACGACGCCCCCTCCCTTCCTGCCTGCGGTCCAGCAGGGGCGGCGGCGGCCGCGGGCCTCTTCACGGCCTCTCAGGCCTCGCCGCAGACCTCCATGGAGCCGGAGGTCTCCCTGTCCAGGATGATGCTGCGCTTCATCTTGGCCCTGTTGTCCATGTGCGAGGGCTCGGTGCCGTCGTACTTGTCGTGATCGCTCTTCTCAATATGCTGGTACGCCAGTCAGTGCTGTCGTCGTGCACTCAGTGCTGAGCTGTGTCAGTCGGTGTTTGTAGCGTCAGTCTGTGCTGCGTAGTGCTAGTCAGTGCTCGGTGCCGTCGCGGTCCTTGCACAACTTGATGATGCTGGGGTCGTGGTAGAATTTGTCGGCTGTTCGTTGGCGTGCTTTCTTCTTGCCCTTACCACATACTGGGCCCGTGACTTAGGTGAAGGTGGTGCACACTCCTGCCCGAGCTTCTCCGATATGTAGTGCTTCGCCACGCTGCCGCATTTGTAGCAGTAGTACCCTTGGTCTCGCTTGTGCCATTCCATATGGTGGGAGTTGTGTGCTTGGCGTCCTTTGAGAGTCAGTGGTGGTTGCTTTGCTGCCGCCGTGATGCTGCATGGGGAGAGAAGCCACCATCTTGCTGTTGTTCTTCGTCGTCGGAGGACAGACTGCGCGCATGCTCCGCAGCGCCATCCCGTCGGAGTCGGTTGTACTTGGTGCAAGCTCTGAGTTGCCAGCTCGTCAAGAGTTGGTGCAGGTGGTATTCGCAATGTGGCTTCTCTCCTTAGCTTCGCCCGGTCTTCCCAATTCATTGGTGGTCGTCGTTCCATGCAGTCCAGGGTGGCTTGTGTGATACACTGTCTGACTAGGTTGCCTACCGCTCGCACCCACCCGTAGCATCCGAGCTGTGCTGCTGGTATGGCGTGCTCTTCTGCTGCTGTGTCGGCTTGTTCGTCTGCTGCTCTGGTGCCGAGCCACGCCCATTCTGGGATATATCTTCGTCGTGCGTCTTCCAATTCGAGGTGGCTCTGCATATGTCTTATCGTGATGGATTCGTCACCTCCTCCCCGATGGTCGATGGCGTCCTTTATCCTCATCCAGATGTCGCCGTTGCCGAAGTGGTACTTTTTGGTCCTGTACCGTTTGCGTCTCCAGTTCCTCATCAGTACTTATGAGTCCGTCCAATAGATGATGGGACCCTGCAAGTTCTGCAACACGCTGAGTAGTGCCCACATCTCCGCTCGGTTGTTCGTCTGTCTTGGTCCTGGTAGTGGACCCCGCATAGTTGCTCGTGCAGTCGCGTGGTCCATGCAAGCCCATCCCCATCCGCACCTGCGGTGCCGTCGGCCTGCTGACATGGCTCCTCCGCTGCCGTCACCGCAGAAGTGTAGCGGGATGTCGTCTGCGATCAGTTGGCCGTGCTGGATGTCGCCGTCGCAGGTGTGCGAGGGTTCCGTAGTGCATGGTGGCGGGCAGGTCATGGGTCGCGGGGTAATGCCTCTGAGCCAGAAGGCGGCGTTCGTCTCGATGCCCTCCTTTGTTCGCTCTTTGAGGTGCTCTGTTCGTTCGTATATGATGTGCTGACGTCTTTGTGGGCAGTCTC